ATTTTTACAACTTGATTGTACATTATAACAACCACTACTTGTCTACTTCTATTCCCTGAGAACTTCTACAACCAAAGTCCATCATCCTTCCCCACCTGCATAAGTTTTGACCAGTTTGAGACAGGTGGGCGAGGCGGTATGAGTAGCTGATAATTGGACTTTTGTTAGTGTCCTGTTTTCTGAAATTGAAAGCATTTTTCGATACTTAATGAGCATGGGATGGTAATGTAAACACAATGCTAGCGATTCTGCAGAACTCGAATTCTTTCCGCAGGTCAACTCTTATTTGATCTCCTTAGTTTCTTCAATTTGTGAGGTCTTATCTAATAATCATTTATCGCTGCACTCCGAAACTCCTGTCAATACACTGTGCCTGCAATCTGTGCAGGATTGCGAAATTGTAGAATGTTTTACTTGTTTTAATATCCATTTGCACTCTATCCTTTGGTAATTCGACTCCGAGATGGCATGCCGCCACTCTATATCCATTGCTTGGCTATGGCCATGAACAATGACCCATCTCTCTGCTTGCATTGGAGTCTGAGCCTGTAATGGATGTTCACCTTGTGTCGTGGGTGGCTGCGGAATGCCACACCATAGCTAGCTCGAACTAGGGAGCTCGATGACGGGCTACCCAGACCTTGTAGGGCCATAAGCATTCATAAACCTTACAGCCCTTTGTCTGCAATAGGTCGTTACTTGTGACCGGTATACCACCTAAACAAGAACTGAAGAGTTTCTTGAGTTGCTTCTCCTACTCCCCTCACATGGTTGGTTTCCAGGCGTTTATATAATTATATCCCTTTGGGCTGCTTTAAATGTTTGTTATGCAATTGAGCTCAGATTTGCAACAATCAAACTTACTAGTAGATATAGGAAGTGCCTTGATTCTACTATAAATCCAGCGCATCTCAGTATACAGTTTGTGCAACACCAAGATTGTCTAAGCAATTACAACTTTTCGATAGCCAAATGCATGCGCTGCAGACTAATCCGCGCGGGCACAGACTGAAGAGCTTGCAGCAGCAGCAAATCCTTTCAGCGCAATGTATAGACAAGCAAAATCATAAACCTTATGGAGTCTCGTCTTCTATCCTTCGAGCGCCAATGTATGGAGGATCCAGGGAGACCGTTTCATTCTTCTTCACGTCGAATTCACAAAGATTTGCTTAATCCAAACTAGGTGCCTCCTCAGTTGGATTGGACTCGAAAACAGATTCACCAGGTTCTTCCAAAACATCCCCCGTCTGGGTGGACTCTTTGTACGCCGGAGTGTCCTTGAAATCTGTCGCTCCTTCGTTGTATGTAGCCACAGCAACGCCACAAGCTATCAACTGCGCGTGAAATGGAAAATTGAGCATTGGCAATGCATAATTGAAACTGACATTCACTCTTCTACGAAACCAACGACTCGAGTTATAGGGATCAACGTCATACCGAAAAAACAATACCCAGTGCCCACAGATACTCGACTGCGAAGCCGAGAGTATCCCACTGCGGACCTTCCCAGAAGTCCTTTTCGTCCCCTGGGAGATTCGGCATCACAAAACCGTCGTCAGCAACACTACCGCTGCTTAAACCGGCGCTGCTCTCAATGCCATCTGTGGAGGAGCCGAACTCGATCTGATCAGAATTCGTGTTCCGTTTCTCCCCCAACTTCTCGGTGGTTTTGATGGAGCCCCGCCGACCCTTGGCGGAGACGATGTGGAGGAGGTGAGCTCTCCTGTGGGAGAGCGGCTGCGGAAGCCGGACGCCACTGCGACGGGGGAAGTGGTTAGACGACAGATGGCGCTGTACGGAGATGGCTCCGGCGGGGAGAGTTTTGGCACCATTGCCGCCGCTGGCGACGAAGAGAGACATGGGAGCGGATTTTCTGGATTGAATTTTGAGGCTGTGGGAGGAGGGTAATTTGAGTGGGCAGTGGTGTGGCCTGTGGCGGCGGGTTATTGATTTCTTTTTTGTTATCTTGGTTCGGGAACATGACACGTCGGCCTATTTCTGAATCTTGTTTTTCCTTCTTGTGATATCAAAGTGATTTTTTAATTTGCTTGTGATAAAATTGATTCCAACTGGATTTATGTGGATAAATGAACTGAGCAGTAAAATTGGAATTGATCTTCATCTTAGTAGAGGATTAATTTGGGAAGTTGTTTCATCACTGGCGTGTAACTCCGAGGGGTCATTGAGGGTCTTCCGTTGGTTTGGCAATTTGAATATTGAAAGGCAGTTCTGCAAATGGATTCGACATCAGCAATATTAATTTCTGCAAGCGACAGATGAGTGGTCGCGCGTGTTTAGGGTAAGTAATCTTTTTGTCGATTGTTTGGCTCATAGGAGTTTGTTGTAGGGTGGCTATACGGTCCGGTCCGGTTAAATTGACTCAAATTGATTCGGTCCAGTCCGGTCTTTTTAAAAATATAAGGACCAAAGATTAGATTGGATACAGTCCGGTTTTGATCCGGTCCGGTCTTGATCCGGTCCGGTCCCAATTCGATCTTGATTTTATATTGAGCTTGTGGGGATTTGAGTGGCCTAAGGCCTGAAAGGGTGAGGAGTTGGTTATGTTTTGTACTAAGTGCAAAGGTTTGTGACCGTTTATGCTAATTACCCTTAAGTTTTGGGTGTTGAGCTCTCTTATCCGGTCTTTATCCAGTTTTTTATCCGGTCCCAAACAGTTTTTTTTTATCTCAAATCTAAGCCCAAAGATTGGATTGGATTGTTTACTATCAGGTCCCGGTCCGGGTTTTACGGTCCAGTTTCGGGTAAAACCAAAAAACCCGGACCAAATAGCCAGCCCTAGTTAACCATGGAATACAATATCATAACCAAACCGTCCAAACTAATACAACAACCAAATTAACCAAACTAAAGTTTAATCGATTTGGTTAATTGGTTAACCAGATTAACCAATATAAAATCACATTATCATTGACGATGAAAATTTTTCGGTTAATGCAACAATTCGCAATTTATATAATGAATAAAACATAACAATCAACACTTAGTTATAGTTGACCCTTAACAAAAATACATGCAACTAAGACAATTATCTTACGATTAGTATAGAAGTATTCACCTAACAAAAATTTATGACAATGGTATGGGTTAATGAATTGTTGTGTTTGTGTAAATTGACTTAGTCTCTTAGCAATTATCATAGGCTGGAAATGACCTTCCTTTCAAGTTTTCATCCATCATAATGTATGAAATTTATCTAAATTAGGCGTCCATATGTTGTGGTCTACACTTTACATATACAAATATACACTATATGAGCAATATTGAGCTTTATATTTTATGAGTCTAAAATGGATGAACGTTAACTCTTGAGTGGTTATGCAAAGTATTAAGTATGTGTATATAATATATGTTAGATATATGACTAATTACTTAACTGGTTAATTTGGTTTGACTGGTTAGGAGTGTTTGAAACCAAACCAAATCACCTAAACCAAACAAGCTAAAAACTTTAACCAAACCAAACCAATTACCAAATTAAACAAACCAAATTATCCAAATAGTATCGGTTAAAACGGTTATCACGGTAACCAAACCGTTTGAACACCCCTACTCGGTCCGGGTTTTACGGTCCAGTTTTGGGTAAAACCAAAAAACCTGGACCAAATAGCCAGCCCTAGTTTCTCTTTCTCGGTCCTCTATGGGTTCACTTTGTGTCTTCCTCTGACCCGAGATCCACAAATGGAGGCTTGAGTTTCAGTCCTTAAACCTCATTCTTTAAAGAGAATGTTAAAACTTTCCGATTGTATGTTGAGATTTTAGTTAATTATTAGGGAGTTAGTGATTAAGTAGTTATTAAGGATATTTAAGAAATTATAATTAATTTAAAAACTATCCTTATTAAAAATTAACCTGAATATTCATAATAATAAAAATTCAACATAAATAATTTTAAAGAGTAGGGCTTTTTTCATGCGGCCCTTTTCCGTCGTCACGCCCTATCGCTTCGATTCTCTGTCGATCCCATCGGTGCCGCTCAAAATTACAAAAATGCCCACCAGAATACATTCGTCAAAAACGGCGCTTAATAGACTTCATTATCGGTGGAGAATAATCTCAGGGCAAGTCCGTGATCAGTAGCCTTCAAAATCAAAAGAAAATGGTGTTTCGAAAAAATCGTCTGAAATCTGTGATGGTACCCATTTGGAATCTGCCAAAAATGGACTTGGAAAAATCCACCCAAATCGGTGCTTAATAGACTTAATCATCGGTGCAAAATAGCCTAGGACCGAACCTGTGATCAGTAGCCTTCAAATCCAAAGAAAATTGTCTTTTGAAAATATCGCATAAAATCTGTGATGTACCCCTTTGGAATCTACCAAAAATGGATTGGAAAAAATCCACCTAAATCGGTGCTTAATAGACTTAATCATCGGTGCATAATAGCCTCAGGCCGAATCCGTGATCTTAAGCCTTCAAAATCAAAGAAAAATAGCCTCTCGAAAAAATCACTAAAAATGACGAAAATTCCCTCCGCAAAAACCCCCTCCAAAATTGGCGTTTAATAGACTTCATCATTGATGGAGAATAACATCAGACCGATTCTGTGATCAGTAGCCTTCAAAATTCAAGGAAAATTGCATTTTGAAAAAATTGTGTGAATTCTGTGATGGTACCACTTTGGAATTTGCCAAAAATGAATCCGAAAAAAAATCCGCAAAAACCGGTGCCTAATAGACTTAATCATCGATGCAGAATATTCCCAGCCCGAATTCATGATCTTAAACCGTAAAGTTTCAAGGAAAATGGTCTTTGAAAAAATAGCCCAAAATTTACGAAAATGCCCTAAAAATCAAACAAAATCAACGCTTAATAGACTTTATCGTCGGTGGATAATAGTCTTGGACCTATTCATTCATCCAAATCAGCCAAATTTCACGATTCATTCATCCAAATCACATCTATAGTCATGAAAGAGAGAAACATGGTAATGTAATCTAGCACAAAATCACCCAACCCCCGTAATTAGTAATACATAGATGTTGTTTATAAGCGGCTAAGCTAGTTTGACAAAAAGAGAATCTTTTACCTCATAAGAAACTGATGAAACAGTAAAAATAAACAAAAAATTACAGTTCCATTATTTAGTTCATAATAATAAGTTCATAACTTCTGCATATCGATCATCATCCAAACTTAAGGTTCACAGACTACGAAGAAGAACACCTTCAAAGGTAATTCCTGGCCCAAAAGCCAATCCCAACCCCCATTCTTCTTCACTCTCCTTATATTCTCCTCCCTTCCTCTTCTTCATCAGCTCTTCTCTCATATACTCCATCACATAAAAGATCGTATTGCTGCTCACATTCCCATAATCCATCAACGCCTTCCTGCTACAATCCAGCTTCCCTTCCTCCAACCCGAGCGTGCCCTCCAACCGGTTCAGTATCGCCGGCCCACCCGGGTGAACCGCCCAGAACAGCTCGTTAAACCCAACCCCATCGCCCAAACCCCCAATCCTCATCAATTTCCTACAAAACTCCTCAATGTTCCCTTCAATTTTCTCCGGCAGATCCCTGCCGAGCCTGAAGTTGATCCCTTCCTCCGACAGCCGCCCGTCGATCACCCCGTGGGTCCCCGGAAGAAACTCCTGCACCGCGTAGCTCAGCTCCATGAACCCCTCTTCTTTCCCTTCCACCGGGTCGGCACCCACCACCACGGCGGCGGCGCCGTCGCCGAACAGCGCCGCCCCGACGAGGTCGTAGGGGCGGGACTTGCTCGGCGGGCGGAAGCCGAGGATGGTGGTTTCCGAGGTGGCGAGGAGGACGCGGCTGCCCGGGTTGTTCTCGGCGATGTCCTTGGCGACGCGTAGCCCCGTGACGCCGCCGTAGCAGCCGAGGAAGTAGAGCATCACGCGCCCCACGTCGCTCCGCAGCCCGAGGCGCGTGGCGAGGTGGAGGTCCCCTCCGGGGAGGCGGATCTCGCTGGACGACACGTAGACGAGGTGGGTGATGTCGGCGGCCGGCCGCCCCCATTCGTTGATGCACGCCAGGCTGGCATCCGCCGCCATGTCGACCACCGCCGGGTTCGCGATCTCCAGCCTCTGCCTGATCGTCGGGGAACCTTCCGTCGCCAGCTCCGGGTACTTGTCCAGTATCTCCCTGGACAGCACGGTGAACCTGCGCTTCACGGTTGTCGTTTTGCCTAAGTAGTTCATGAAACACAAATCGCGTCAGCCAGAAATCTAAATGAGGGGTGCTAAAAATTCGCGTTTGAAAGGGTTTGAGACGGGGAGCGCGGAGGCTAAAGCTTTAACACCTGCTCTATTTTTTTTTTCAAATTCGTTACAAAATTTATCGTAATTTTAAGAATTGAGAGGGGAAGCTATAGCCCTCGATGTCGCTATTTTGGGAGAGCATACATAATCGTTCGAGTTTCTCCTTGATGGCGGGATCGTCGCATTTGGTGTCACGAATGTAGCCTTCGACGAGACATTCTTGAGGGATGAGTTGGCTTGGGAAAGCCTTGCCGATTGCGAGCAGTGTTGCCTTTCCCGGTGTAGGAACGCGTCTAAGTGCAGTGCTGCGATGGTGGTCGCCATTTTTCGGTGACATTTTTGTTAGTTTGAGGGGAGCTAACAATGGTTTTTGGTATTAGTAGCACAAAGGATGTGTGGAATGGGGAGGTGATATAAAGGAGAGGTTTGGGGATTTTTTTTATAGGAGTGAAGTTGGTGGCAAAGTGAAAGTGGCATGAGAGAGAGGCATTTGCATTGGAACGATATTCTCTACTTTAGGGTTGGTGTCTTGGTGACATTTTGTTGGGTTTTCCTCTCTAGGTTGGTTTTAGGTTGGTCTCTACTCTCTACTATTTCTATCATCAATCTTTTTGTGACTTCGAATCGCCAATAGTAAACTTAATTTTTTGAGGAAATATAGTTACGTAATAGTAGTAAAGATAATGCATGCAGCTCAACTTTTTATGGGAATCAGAAATTCATTATGGAATATCTTGATATCCACATTTGAGAAAAAAGAACGATAATTTGTAAACTCTCCGGATCAAGAGTTTCAATTTAAGAATTTGGACAAGAAATAATGTTTTAGATAAAAAAAAAATCATCACACTTTTGATAAAAATCGATTGAATGAGATAATTACAGACTTGTAACATACTTCAACACACAATTTGTAATTGATCGCTCCTTTACCAGAATTCCCAAAAAAAGCATATCTATTTCCTTACCAAACTAATTCGGCCAAACCCCATACTACTATGCCTAACTCATAATTGTAGGAATTCCTTCAATTCCTTCAAAGTAGATTGGAGATAAATATTATCCAATTCGAGTAGGAAATGCAACAGGGCATGTTCAGGGCAGATAGTGTTAAATCCGCTCCCTGCTCTGTCCTCAAATTCCTTATCCGATCTGCTCCCCCCCCCCCCCCCCCCCCGCGCGATGGGTTGACAATTTTCGCCTCAAACATTATCCGACGCGAGGCGGTTAAAATCCGACCTGCTCCACTCTATCACTTTAAACCTTTTCCCTTCTCCTTCTGGCTTGAATTTGAAGTGCGCCTCACGATCACCATATATGATGACAGAGCAGAAGCGACAGTGACAGAGATTTCTGGGGTGAAGCTCCAACTGCGACAGTTATGAGAGTGTAAGAGTTGATCTCCTTGAGGACGCCGGTATGGAGGAACTCGCCGAGGGAAAAGGGAGGCCACCTACGATGGCGACGGTCCAACGATGATAGTGGAGAAAATGATGGTATTTGTGGTCGGAGGTGGGTGACTTGGGATCTAGTGTAAAGGCAGTGGAAGGGAGGCATCGCAAACTAATGCTACAACCAAAATAAAGCCAGACCAAGTTTCAACTCGAACCCAATCGATTCGGCTCGGGAAACAAAGGGACGATAGATTGAATTGGATCAACAGCACCTAGTGGGCCACTTAAACCCTAATACTGAAGACGAAAGAAGTAGCACCGACCATTTTTTTTAGAATGATGGTTTTTAGTCCTAGCTCTAAAAATTACTAATCATCGTCTTAAAAGTTTAAAGTTATCATTTATTTATTTTTACTTTATTAGCTTTCCCTTTCCAATTTAGCACCAACAAACACTATCTCGCTGCCCAGTAAGTGCTCCGTCGTCACGATCGAGCCTCATTGCCATCAATTTAGACCCACTATTAATAGCGAGGTTGAGTAGATATTTTTGCTAAAAATGACGAATTTTTTGGTTACATCATGGTCAAGCCAAAAATTGGTTTATCTGTACCGTGATATAAAATTAAGATCGACTTTCATTTAACTATGATGCCACCAATTATAGTATTCGATCGGACCACGATCAAATCGAAGTCAAACTTTGATTTCCTAGATCACTTTCTTTGCGTTTTTTGGACGCTTCTTTATTGATCTTTTGGATCCATTCATGGTGGAACTTCTAGCTTGATGAGAAGTTATATGTTAGTGCATTTATCATGACATCTCCAAGGCACTATTTTGCTATGATGTTCAACATGTAATTTGGAAGAAGCATAGAAAGGAAATATTGCATGTACTTGGTGGTGTTCTGCTGACCGAGGTTGGATAGTGAGTCTCCTTTACTATGATCAATTTTCATAAGGATTGTCCATCTTAAAGACTAAATAAACTCTTCATGAAAGTTTGCTTATTACTAGTGGATTTTCACATCTACATCTAATTATTGTCAAATTTGTATTCTTATATCTCGTTGCTTTTTTATTAGGATATTTATGGAAAAAACTGGACGGAAACCTAATTGAACGACTCAACTTGTATTAAAAATTATGTTTTTTTTTTTGTAATGGATGCAGAACACCCTATCTTTCATTCAAAACCAACCGGGGTATGGAAACCCCCTGATAGTCATACAAGGATGGTCATCGGATGTCTCGCCTTGCAGCAGCTGCACCGCACACTGGGAATCCAGTTGAACCAGTACTCGGCGAAGACCTGCATCCCAAGCCACCTGTAAGCCTTCAACAGCGCCTCTCAACTCAGCCTGGGTTATAGAGCAGGTGCCCAGGTTAATAGCGAACGCTGCTAAGCAACGTCCTAAGTGATCACGAATCAGACCACCAGCTGCAACATGGCCTGATGAAGGGAGAACGGAGCCGTCAGAGTTGAGGCAAACCCACTCGGGAGGAGGCGGCTGCCAGTGGATCAGCCCCTCCGTTCTGGCGGGTGGACTAGGCCTATGAATGAGCCTGTCCTGGTCCAGAGCTTTCCTCACTACAAGTAACCAAGCTCGGACCCGCTGTATGAAGGCTTCAGGTGGGACGATCTTTCCTGCAAAGACAAGATCGTTTCTGGACCGCCAAAGGGCCCATCAAGTAATTCCGAACTCGAGGCTGAAGTGCTGATGCCGGAGGTTATCAAGGATCCAAACCTGCTGTGAACTGCCAAAGAAGCGCTGGTGATCAGAAAGAGGGATTAGCTGCATCCAAACTAACCGAGAAAAGGGGCAGTCCCGCAACACATGCATGACTGTCTCAGTAGATTGCTTGCATCGAGGACAATGCTTGATAACATGAAAACACTCCTATTTCAAAACAACCTAATTTGACTGAACTCTATGTTGTTGTGCTTAACTCGTAATTATAACTAATTAGTAATTATGTTTCTAACATTCCACATCGGCCGAACACTATATAATCTCATAATTCAGTTGCTATACTTGTCATTCATACATCTATCAAAAGGCTGAATCCACATAGTCTTGGATAAGGACCATAGCCGAATTCCCACGCAATGTATGATACTATGGAGAATTTGCAGTTTCTCATTCCTTACAATCTCTAACTCCAGTAATTATTTATGAGACACACCATAACTAAGCTCTAAGCATCAAACATTAAGAAAGGAAAGACCGTAAGGGTGTGTTTGGATATGTATATTTTAAAATACATATTTGAAATCATGAATTTGAAATACATGCAATTCAAATTCATTCTTTGGATACTCATATGTGACTTGTTGGCATTTTATATATTATGAGATTTTTTCAATGTTGAATTCTTCGGTCACATACAATTTTTTTTGGAAAATTACAAAATAGTATCGAATTTTTTTTACCAATGATTTAGAAATTTTGATTGTAAAATTATGTTTTAGTATCTTTATAATTTTTTGTCTTGCATTATAGCACCCGAACTTTAAAATTTTACGAATAAGTACGGTATGTTACTATGGGAAATTTCAAATCACTATTTTTTTATATTTATTTGAAATTCACAAACAATACACGGGATGTATTTGAGGTTCACACAATCAATTCCACATTTCAAATATAAAATTCAAATCATTCTACTCAAACACACACTAAAAATAAATCAATAACAAAGAAAACAGGAAATAGTCTAAATTTTGCTAAGGTAAAAAAAAAAAAAATTGGTTGCTTAGGTTGATTTTCTTCATTGGTTATTTGAACGTCGGTAATGAACTAATGATACGTATTCAATGTCCTATCTGACATGTTGGGAAAGAAATATAATGAATTAATTTGAATGGTAATCTGAATTCTTCTATGTTAATGTTAGGCTGGAGGACGGAATCTGACGGCGAAAACCAGAACACTATTGCCCATAATCCTGATTCTGTATCTTAAAAAGGACAAAAATTTATAAAAAGAGAGCGAAAAGGAAAACGAACCCACATTCCCTTGAATTCACGTCGTGCTGCAAAGCAGCAGCTGCTAGATTTAGAAGAACAAGCGGAAGGAAAAGGAGACTCAGCAGCAAAGGGACAAAAGCCAACCGAGAGACAGAACCAAGGTAAACAAACCCTCATCCAGCTGCTAAAACCAGAATGCTCGCTTTCTTCTCCATTGGGTTCTCTGGATTGAATTCGAAATTTCGTTGCGACTTTCTACAGTGCTGTAAAGTTAAAATTTTGTGTCCCAGGTTTACAAATTAAGCGATTTACTTTTTTGATCTTCCCGAGGAGAGTAAGTAAAGAGGGATCCCGATGAATTGCTTTGAGTTGTGCGTAATTTTCCAAAATTTCAGTTCCAGTGGATCCAATTTTTGAGGAATTAAGCGCTCTGTTAGATTTGCAGGGGGACACGAAGCGGTGAATGAAAAGATTAGTTCTTTGGATTGAAAAGGGTTTCCGAGGAGAAAGATAGCCGAGAGAGACTGAGTTGAGAGCGTGACAGAAGAGAGGGATAGGGGGAGAGTGAAGGGTTGAGATGAGTTCGAAGAAGGCGGAAAGCGCTCCATCAGGTGCAGCTCCAGCACTTCGGCGCGACCCGTATGAGGTTCTATCTGTTTCAAGGGATTCTACCGATCAAGAAATCAAAACCGCGTACAGGAAACTTGCTCTGAAGTAAGTTCTTATACCTGTCAATTCTTCAGAAAGAAAACGTCCATTTATTGTGGGTTACGGTGTGAATTGTTGGGCTTTTCTTGATTGCAATCTTTGTATGAATGGGTTTAGAGAACGTGCCAGTTGGAGTTGTTCAATTTTGTTCATGTTAGCTAGACTAGCTAAGTGAGCTTGTGGAATAACGGATGAAGATTTGCCAGGCGAGTTGTAAAGGCCTTTTCTTTAGAGTAGCTATTGTATTGTGATGCTGTAAATGTTTTCAGAGTAGAAAACCATACTTGGGTGTGCAGTGTGCTCATGATAGAATCCCGCTTGATGTTAACTACACAGCTTGAATCGGCCATTGGTTAGTAGTTACATTGTTTTCCTTCATGGGCAGAGAACATGGAAGGAGCCTAGCACTCATTTGCAATCATAGGAATAAGGCTGGATAAACAATATGATTTAACCTGCTGGGAGTTGCTTGTTTCGAGTTTGTCAATGTGGTTCGTTTGGTGGATCAATTAAAAAACGAGACAATTTGGCTAATGGACTCATTTTACAAAACGAATCAATTCGAATGGCCTCAAAACGAGTCAATTTGAAATTCCCCAGGCCAAATTGCTTCATCCAAATTTTATGCTGCCAAACTAATAAATTTGGCTAGATTGTCTCAAAACGAAACAATTGGTCAAATTGATCTGTTAGAATTTCTCATCCAAATGATATATATGTCTTGTGAACTGGGATTGGATACAAAGTAAGCAAGTTATAGCATAAAGTGAAACAGAGTTGAATGATGGAGAGGGTGGAAGTAGTGGAGGTTATTTGCTGTTTTGGTAGGGAGAAAATGTGATGGTTTGTTTATGAGGGGGCAAAGGTTTAGCCCTCCATGTGCTTCTGCTGCTGATAAACAGAGATGTGAAGTTAGTTCTCAGGTTGAACAAACAATGAGAAGGTACTCTTCCAACATGGGGTCTAGAGAAAAGTATGTGATATAATAATAATGAAAATTTCCACTTTCCCTCATGGTGCTGGTTAATTAAGGAAATAGAACCTCTTGCTAGTGTCTACTTCCGCACCAAATTGGTGGACTTAAGTTTCTCTCAGTTACCTTTTGCCATGTCTTGTTTCTTCTCTGGAATGGTCATACTGCTGCTTTCTGCAGCTTATGTCTGCTTAGAGTCTAATTGAACTGGACTGGAATCCTTGTTAAATCTTCTTTCCACTGATTCCAACCTGGTTTAATTCCTGCCATTGTACATGCATATGATCAGCTAAGGCATACGCTCCTGCATTTTCAGTTTATAGTGTTTTAGCTTCATAGCTAGTCTGATTGATTCTCTTTATTCCTTTTTGGTGCATTCGCGTAATCGGTATGTGTTTTTTAGTTTGATAGTGGCCATCTTTAATCTGTGTTTTTTTTTTTGTTAGATTAATCAACATTTATTAATTGAATGATGTAAATCATGGGCAGGTATCATCCAGACAAGAATGCCAACAATCCGGAAGCTTCAGAACTTTTCAAGGAGGTTGCATATTCCTACAGTATCTTATCTGACCCAGAGAAGAGAAGGCAGTATGACAGTGCAGGATTTGAGGTGATCTTTCAGTAAACTATTATCTTTACCTTTCCTTCCGATAACCATTCTACATTTCTTATGCTTAAGCGAGCTTTTGTCTAACCATAATGGAAGAGAGCTTAGGTCTATGTCACAGTTTAGAAAGGCTGTCTTTTATATAATCAAACATGTGGAGTACCAGAGAACTTGCATGCTGGGGTCTCATGTATATAAAGACCATTTGGATATTGGCTTCATGGCCTAACTTCTAAAGCCTCATTTATTCCGGAAATATTCTAGCAGAACTGGTGTAGCTCACCAGAACTTCACAATGGTGCAGCTCCACATTTCCTTGAGTAGATGATATTGGCACCAACCACCATCCTTCTTCTATAGATATTTACAGGAAAGAGAGAAAGGGGATGAGAGTGGGTGGGGTTAGGGTATAGGAAAATGTACTGGCTTGCTATGAAGATCCATGGTTATTTTGATTGTGAAGAAATTTGTGGTGTAAGGTGTTAGTCGTGATGGAGCATGCTGGCCAGTCTTTCGATCCTTTACAATTGCATGAATAGCTTGTTTGTTCTGCATATACCTTCTTTGGGTTTGTGTGAATGTGATATCTGTTCTTATATTCTGGTATATTCTTCATATTTTGTGCAGTAGCAATATGTTCACGGTAATTTTGGAAACACCTAATATGTAAAAAAATTTCAATCATCCCCAATCAGGCTCTAGATGCAGAAAGTATGGACATGGAAATTGATTTGTCAAACCTGGGAACAGTCAATACAGTGTTTGCTGCATTATTCAGGTATTTTTATGTGCGAAACTGAATTGTGATAATTCTGTAATCTTCAACACTAGATGTTTTCGATACTCGGAGTTTGACATGAATCTTTCTGAAATTATTTCAATCATTGTAGCAAGCTTGGCGTTCCTATTAAGACAACAATTTCTGCTAATGTACTCGAAGAAGCTCTGAATGGGACTGTTACAATCAGACCTCTTCCAATTGGCACATCAGTTAGCGGAAAGGTGCGGTGCTCTCTTTGGAAAGTCTCTTCTTTTGCCTGATGGTGTTCTACTATGTACATTCTTAGCTGGTATTGGTGGATGATTTTCAGGTAGAAAAACAATGTGCACACTTCTTTGGTGTAACAATAAGCGAGCAACAAGCTGAATCAGGGATTGTTGTGAGGGTTTCTTCAAGTGCACAGAGCAAATTTAAGGTTGTCTGCACAAAAAAAAAACCTAGTCTTTTCTTTTATGCCCAGCAAAGTTCCGAGTAATATTAATGATG